TTAGGGGTCCTTAGTAATGTTGATTCGCAAGAACAAGTGGTTTTAGTAGAAAATAGTAATTGTACGAGCCCGAGTCTAGTGCCTCGCCGGCGCTGTGGACTATGTGGGAAACATGGCCATAACATACGAACTTGTCAAAAAGGAGAAGAAATATGTGAGGATTCCGATTCTGAATACTGTAATTAATTTAATTAATTGTGTCGTGAGATATTTAAGAATTTATAAAATGCCAAGAAAAAAAATCCATTTCGCTTGGGAATCCAACTCGCTTGTGGACTACGTTATATAAATTTAGGAATATACTAGAATTAAGAATCTAGGAATAGCCTTACTTTTCGTAGTACGGATTAAGGGGGCTGTTAAAATTACGTAATCTGTCCTACTATATTAAGTCTACTTTGTTAAAAACTCTTTATTAGCTAGATATATATAAACTAGCTACATCCATAGTAGAATAATCAAGTACTTAACCAGCTTCTCATTTTACCATATTTTATCACCAGCATATAAACTTGGTTGCAACAATGGAATTCTTCAAGACTGAGAACGACGCTAAGCGCTTAACAAAAAAGAAACAATGATAGTCCAACAAGGGAGAGATGGCTTTCACGTGTATGTCAAAAATCACTTCTCTAATTTAACCGAGCCAATTGACATTTGTGCTCAGCGTTGCAGAAAACATCAATGGTATTTATTCTGAGTCGTAGCTTACTCCTTGTTTGTTTACCCTGAAGATATAATGAAATGCTTCATAAAACTTCATTTCATTGCAGGCTCGCAATGGAACAACTACACGAGACCAAAAGCTCTATATGTTCTTTACCAGCTGTCAATTGGGCTCTTTTTCGAAAAGTTATTAATACTTCCTGTTGAAACGTAGGAGTTATTTTTCCAATACCCTTTTCACATGTATCTCAAATTACCGAGTCAGAGCAGCAACCGCTGAGCTAAAACGATATGGATTAATGAAGTTACTATATCTTTCTTGCCGCTTCTGAGTGAAGACGATATAAAATTCGATAAAGAATGACGCTGGGTTCATTCTCGCTTATATTCATGTACAGAGTTTGGTCATCAATCACAATGTCACAGTACCAGGATGGTAGTTCCAGCATTTGGAAACCCACATACACCCAGAACCCCAACAGATTAATCCAGGAACCTCTCAAGCGACTTATTATTGATTCTCACATTCAAGTGTAGATCCACAGAGATCCATTCCTCTTCAATAAATCCGCATTAACGTAAGAAGATTTCCAACCCTTCATTTATCCCCTAACCCCTAACGCCGACACATATCACAAAAACATCCCCAAGCATCCTTAAAACGCACTACGAGTACGGACATCAAGAAAGCATACAACACAACACCAAACCCACCCTCATCTCATCTCAAAACCCTTCTCCAAAATGCTAGCCCTAACCTCACCCACCGGAAAACTCGGTGCAGCAACTCTCTCCTCACTCCTCACCCAGAACCTCATCCCACTATCTTCCCTCATCCTCCTAACATCCACATCCCCTTCCTCACCAAAACTATCCTCCTTTCACGAGCAAGGAATCCAAATCCGACAGGTAGACTACAAGAACCCCACACTGTCGATCTTCCACGGAATCACAAAACTCCTTCTCATCTCCACGCCAGAGATAAGTTTAGATTTCAACTGCGCACCCACGGCGCAAAACCCGGGGCGGGAGAGCGTACATATCCCTTTCCTGCGCGCTGCTGTGGAGGGGGGTGTGAAGCATTTATTCTACACGTCTCTAGCATTTGGTGATGCGTCGAAGAGTGGGGTGATGAGGGCGCATCTCCGGACGGAGGAATTTCTGAGGGGTGTAGAGGGGAATGTGGATGTCACGGTTATTAGGGAGGGATTGTACAATGAGAGTTGGCCGTTGTATCTTGGGTATTTTGAGACGGGGAAGGATGAGAGGGATGGGATTGTGATAGGAGGGGATGGGAAGGTGTGTTGGACTTGTATTGCGGATCTTGGGTTGGGGACGGCGATGATGTTGAGTTCTCATGCGGAGAGGTTTAGGGGGAGGACGGTGTATCTTTCTTCTGGGCCGGAGGGGGCGAAGAGTTTGAGAGATGTTGCGGGGTTGGTTGGGAGGGCGAGGGGGAGGGAGCTTGGGGTTAGGATCGTGGTGAGGGAGGAGTTTGTTAGGTATTATGTTGAGGAGAGGGGTGGAGATGAACCGAGTGTGGAGTGGTGGAGTACCACGTATGATGCGCTTGAGGATGGGGAGTGTTTGATCGATGATATGACCTTAACGGATTTGCTGAAAGAGAGGGGCCTCAAAGCCAAAACAGTTGAGGAGACCATCAGTGAAATGTTGGGTTCTTGAACATACACTTAGGTCTCAAATCTCGGCGATAGCTAGTATCTCATTAGAGAACATATTAAGTCAAGCATTGTTTCGGAACAATCTACTATTAGAAGTTAATATTGAGTTCTCATTTCAAGCTTCCGAAACCCCTGGATTTCTGAATATAAAAAGTAGAAATTGTCTTATTACTCTAACCTACTTACTAACTATTACTCTTAACATATTACGGCATCCCAATTGTACACTTAGGTCGCTATCGACTAAATCGCAATTCGCAAATCGTAAATCGTAAAAGTCATATAAGTTATTTACTACTGCCATGCTAGAGTGCCTATAAACCCACACCCCTACCCTTAGACTTCACGTGCCTAGGAATTTTCACGTACACTGCGCTCACTGCCTGCCCTTACTGTCGTTGTATCCTCGCTATTGTATAGGGCTTGTGCCCTAGTATGTTATTTAGAAGAAAGAGAGAGGGAGAGAGAGAGAGAGAGAGGGTGGCGGAGGAGGACGGGAAAGGTTTTCAGTCGTACGTATCGCTTATTCCTAGCCCCTAATACTACCTTCCTAAAACGGCTAGGCTAGCAAGTATTACGCTAACAATTATTTGCTACCTACCTTTCCTCGCTCTCCCTCCTACTCACTCTCCCTCCTACTTACTCTCCCTTACACTTACTCTTCTCTTTCTTTACAGCAACAATAGCGTTAACGATTAACAATAGTAACAATTATAGCGCGAGTGGATATAAAGGTATTTATTAGCCGGGGGGGGGACTAGGAGGTAAGGGTAGAGTTGAAGGAGTATTCGAGTTAAATTTAAGCTTATTTACTTATATCGAGTAGTTTTACCTTTAATCCTAGCGCTGTTATTTGACCCTAACCCTGAGCCACTTTGCGGTTTACGAGTTGCGATTTCCTATAAAATAAACTTAAAATGAAGTATTTATAATTTGCGATTTACGATTTAGTTGATAGGGACCTAAGTGTACAATTGGGATGCCGTACATATCTACCCACTCCTGAGTCCTCACTTCTATTAAATCAAAGTTGCTCAATCCTTCGTCGTCACTTTTCTTCCCTTAACCAAGTAAGAAACGTGGTCGTCATGGACGTATATATGATGTAAAATCCCAAAGAAAGAAAATACCATATAGACCGTGAAGGATCTCATCGATTTATCATGAGTTGATATTATCGATTTTGCGCGTACTACATCTTCCTCCTTCCTCCCTTTTTTACAAGGAATAAAATCATTTCCCAAAGTCCCTTTTTGTTTGATTAACAAGGCACGAGGATCTGGTAACGGAAAGATAATAACATGATGGGCGATGTTGAAATCCGTGTTGCGAATCAAGAAGAAAGCCAGTAGTGTGTACCAAGCTTTGGCTTCACTCTTTCATACATGACCAATGGAATAAGATATAATGCACAGTCCAACGCGCTACTATACATACTACTTCCGTCAAAAATCAATACCTACAAACATAAGAACGCAGGTGAGATATCACGCTAAACACCCATACGCAAATACTACAACACAAAATACGAAAATGTCATGTCGCTATATACCGGTACCACTATCCCACCCCACCAACCCCAGGCCAATTCCCAACCAGGTACAGTCTTTCCCACACCAACCCCACTATAAAAACCATTATACATACATCAAATAATCGCAGTTTCACAGAGCGCAAACATCCGTTGCCACCGAAACCCCGGCCGCGCATCCATCTTCTTCTCGTCACTTTCCGGGAATTCGATACCATATTGCTGGATCACACACTCAAAGGGTTTATTTTTGGGCGCCAGACCTGCCGTGTCTTCGTTGTCTACACATTTCTTAAGGATTGCGGATCGTGCATTTGGATCTCGTCCTGCAGAGCCAGGTTTCTCGATTTTGCGTTCCACGAAAGAATATTCGGCATCCTCGTCGTCGGCGTTGGGGATGGGGGACGGGGGGAGGGATGTCTCCTTTGGAGAAGGTGGGATTTTCCCTTGGGTTTTGAGGAGGGCCAACTTCTTCTCCTCTAGATCACCCCATAATTGCCAGAGGTTTTCCCTGAGGCCGGTGAGAAGTTGTTTATCCTTGCGAAGGCTTTCAGGTGTTAGTCAAATGCAAGAACCATGAGATTGTGGGACTCTTACTCGGTCGCATTTTCGAGCTTAGTCAAAAGAAATTGGGCGTGGGTGTTGTTGACCATCAACCATATGCGTTTCGGCTGGTGCTTTGTACTAGCATCTTCGACCTGAAGAGCAAAACCCCACTCCCATGCTATCACGTCGCCCTCGATATCCATTGTCTCGTCGTTGTCTGATAACATATCGTACTCCGAAAGCCCATGGGCAAAATCCTCCATCCTGTCGGGAAAATAGTCGACGACTCGTACACAAGCCTTGTATTTCAAGTTCGTGAAAGGGGCCGGGGGGTTTACACTGTCCGGACCGGATAAAATTTCCACGGACTTCGTGATGTCTGCAAGCGAGGTGACAGACCGGTCTGTATGATTGCATCGCACTGTTGAAAACATTAGACGCTGTCGAGATAATTTATAGTGTTGCTTACCACTCTCATTGAGATTTTGTCTTTCTTCAGCAAACTGTCGTTTTCTCTTCTCATTCCTGCGGGCTTTGGACGGTGGCTTCCCTGTTGGTTCACCTTCAGGGGCCTCGTTAGCTTCGCGTTTGCGCTCATTACTTCTGATTTCCAACTTCTGTTTCAGAGGGGCTCTATAATAATTCCTCTTCCGCTTGAGAGCTTCCTTCAAACGAGGATCCATAATGGAGTCACGGGGGTTCAAAAACTGAACCCTAACCTTACTGCCATCTTTATACATCCTACCTTCTAGGGCCCTTTGGTCTTTAATGTTGGTTTCGTCGGGATAATATCCAATTTTCACATTCTCGAGCCGAACCCAACTGCAGTCTTTATTTTCTGGGTTGTTCATGTATCGTGCATTCTGATCCCACATGCTAACCTGCATGCTCATCTTGCCCGAAGGACCTTTCCAAGCCTGATCATCTTCATCTGCCGGAAGCCGGTCGTAAAAGCGAGGGTTGGCAGTGTAATCCGAAAAATAGATCGTGGTGCAGTTCCCATCGTCATGTTTTCTGATGACCTCTCCGATGATGTCGTAATACGGTTTATCGGATACCATTCGAACGTCTTTCAACAAGGTAAACCTGTCCCTGGTAGTAGTGGGTTTTAGCGTTACGTGGTGGACGTCCTGTTTCGCAGGAATACGATTTTCATTAATGGAATGTCCATGGCATTGAATGGCGTAAGCTATTTCTGGGCGACTTGGGTAATTGAAAACTTTTTTTGTGTTCCCAGTTGGAGGCAGCGCAAATTTACGCCAGTGGGTAGGGTTTTGAAGTACCACACGACCAAGCGAGACGTTGCAAGATGGCAGAATGTGAAACTCGCTGGTTTTGTTGGAAAGCAGAGAGATGGTTCCATATCTTTGTTGAATCTGAATAGCAATAGCAGTATTTAGAGAGCGTCAGAATACTCAGGCACTGATCGAAGACCAACCTTGACTTGTCGAGATACCATTATGTCCCCAACTGAAATATCCTCGCTTGTAGGCATGGACTCGATCCGGCGGGACCAGATGGAGAGTTCTAGTTCCTCTCCCGATGATTCTACGAGCGTAATCGTACATTTTGCATCTGACATACATGTCAACAACTGCTCTGCCATTTGGGACGCTTTGGTTCCCTAAAGGGAATATAGTATAGATATACATACCTGCACCTCTAGTTTGGTGTGGGGGCATAAAGTCTTTGACAACACCAATGATGTTGACCAGCTTTCCTGCTATCATTCCTGGCCGTGGATAACAAACATCGCTGATGGTGCTGAACCCGTCGGGAAGTAATGGAGCCATGGTTATGGAAGCTGCAGGATTAGTATGAGTATCTGTATGAGTATCTGTATGAGTATCTGTATGAGTATCTGTATGAGTATCTGTATCAGTACCAGTACCCGTGTTCTCGTCCTCTGGATGATGGGGTGTGGGTACAGCACAGTACACGTGATGAAGCAAGATGCTCGCGGCCGGGGAGCCTGGAATGAGAGAGATACCCGACAATTGGAAATATGGAGTTGAAGGATGAAGCATGAAGTAGGAAGTCAAATCTGCAGTCTGCCGTCTGCATTCACTCTGGCTTTAAATCTGATGGATCCCTTCCACCAGACGCGCTTGGCGGAGGTGAAGCCGGAGATGAAAGCACCAAAATGGTCATACAGTAGTCATTGCGTCTTCTCTGCACTGTCGCTTGAGGTCAGTGAAAGCAAATATCCCCAGAAACGGAGCGTCCCCGGAAACCAAGTGGAAGTATCCCGTCAGGCACGCGTGTAGCGCTCTTTCCTACGCGATAGCGGCACAGGAGACGCACTGAACTATTCAGTTGGAGGCCCGTGCGGGGGAGAGACGCGTTGAGGAGTCAGCGAGGCAGCACCCTCGTCACACTCGTCACGTGCTCAGCGTCATCTTTTAGCTAGATCACGTGCTTAATCACGTGCGTGGCTGGCTGGTTGAAAGCGGCCCCGGGCGTTTAGTGCAACCTTGAAGAGGCAACCTCCTCATGGGCGTGAAAGTTCAAAGTTCCACTTGATCCCACTCCCTCTCAGAACCCCCCCCCACCACGAACCTCTCTCGACCTGAACCTTCAACCTCGCCCCCAACACCTCAACACCTCAACACCCCCCAACTCAACACCACCGCGACCTGGATTAGGTCCTCGGTCCATAGATCGTTCCGCATCCACATCGACACCCACATCCGTCGTCCATCGCACACAACCCATCACCCTCATTCTCTCCCACACCCTCACCCTTCCATATCAGATCGCGACCATGGCGGACCGATACATCCCCGAGCATCGTCGTACGCAGTTCAAGGCCAAGAACACCTTCAAGCCCGAGGAGCTTCGACGTCGTCGCGAAGAGCAGCAGGTCGAGATCCGCAAGGCAAAGCGTGAGGAGAATTTGGCAAAGCGACGAGGCATCGCGGGCGCAGATGGATCACGACCGGGTGCCTCCCTCGGCGCAGAGCCTGATAGCGAAGATGACAATCCACCCACCGAGAGTCAGGTAAGCTGTCGCAGATCTCTCCCTCTCCCAAGTCGTCGTCGGTCGAAGCATCGCGCATGTTGCGATGTGTGCGACCTCCAACGTGCCAATGCGGTGCCGCCATGATTGTTTACTTTTCTTGGTGGGGTACAGCCTGGCGAGAGTCACCGAAATTGTGCGAGTTGACCGCCGTGGACAGCTCCACCGTTCAAGGCGTTCGCGAAGCACCACCGCTCCCCCGCAATACACCATGACTTTGGCTGCGAAGATGTAGATGTTGGCTAACCTCGCTGCGCTCTCTAGTTGAACGAGGATCTCCCCCAAATGGTGGCCGGCGTCTTCTCGGAACAAATCGACCTCCAGATCCAAGCCACCACCAAGTTCCGAAAGCTGCTCTCCAAGGAGCGAAACCCTCCAATTGAGGAGGTCATCAAGACGGGAGTCGTCAGCCGTTTCGTGACCTTCCTCCGATCGCCGCATACACTCGTTCAATTCGAAGCTGCCTGGGCCTTGACCAACATTGCTTCCGGTTCGGCTCAGCAAACACAAGTCGTCATTGAGGCTGGAGCCGTCCCCATCTTTGTCGAGTTGCTTGGGAGCCACGAACCTGATGTGAGAGAGCAAGCTGTGTGGGCTTTGGGTAACATTGCTGGTGATAGCCCATCATGTCGAGATTACGTTTTGAGCTGTGGCGCTCTCAAGCCACTCCTGGCCCTGTTGGGTGACAGCCGCAAATTGAGCATGCTCCGCAATGCCACCTGGACCCTCAGCAACTTCTGCCGTGGCAAGACCCCACAACCCGATTGGAACACCGTAAGTAACTAATCGCCTATCAAACGTGTATTGTGAAAGCTCATATAGCCAGCAGATCTTGCCTGCCTTACCAGTCTTGGCGAAGCTTGTTTATTCCCTTGACGATGAGGTTTTGATTGATGCGTGCTGGGCCATCTCATATCTTTCCGATGGTGCCAATGACAAGATCCAAGCCGTCATCGAAGCTGGTATCCCTCGTCGCCTCGTAGAGTTGCTTACCCACGCTTCCACATCCGTCCAAACCCCTGCCCTGCGATCCGTCGGTAATATTGTCACTGGAGATGACGTTCAGACCCAAGTCATTATCAACTGCGGTGCCCTCCCCGCTCTTCTTGCGCTTCTCAGCTCTGGAAAGGATGGTATTCGCAAGGAGGCTTGCTGGACCATTTCTAATGTCACAGCCGGTAACTCCACTCAAATCCAGGCAGTCATTGACGCAAACATCATCCCACCTCTCATTCATCTCCTCTCGAATGGTGACTTGAAGACCCGAAAGGAGGCTTGCTGGGCCATCTCAAACGCCACTTCCGGTGGACTTCAAAAGCCAGAACAGATTCGATTCTTGGTTACTCAAGGATGTATCAAGCCCTTGTGTGATCTTCTTTCTTGCCCTGACAACAAAATCATTCAAGTCGCACTTGACGGCCTTGAGAATATCTTGAAGGTTGGAGAGATGGACAAGGATGCAGCTGGCGAAGGTCAAGAAGGTATCAACAAATTTGCGCTGTTCATTGAGGAATGTCAAGGTATGGAAAAGATTCATGATTGCCAGACCAACGCAAACGAGGAGATCTACATGAAGGCCTACAACATGATCGAAAAGTACTTTTCCGATGAAGAAGAGGCAGAGGGGGCTGATCAACCAAACGCTACCGGCGATGGTAGCTTTGGATTTGGAAAGAACACTGCACCAGGCGGATCTGGTTTCAACTTTGCCAACAACGGCGGTGATTCGATGGATATGTAGATTGCTTGACAGCATCCTCGTATCCTCTTGCTCTTATTGAGCTCTTCATGTAATCTGCACCACATACACCTTTCTAATCAAGATTGACGAGTACGTTACTGCGGATTCACCACTTCCCAAAAAACACCACACTCGTGCCCATGTATGGTACGAACCCTTCCCAGCAAAACCCAATTTTCGATCCCCCCCCCCCC